AGCAACCACCCGTAGCCCCCCCAAAAAAGTTCCGATCCATGAATTCTTGGAGGCATAATTATAGGTATGCGTGTCGGTTGTCAGCTCGTGATTTCCCTCGTTCTCCTGACGCAGAGCTTCAGCGACGTGACTGCCGCAGCCACCGCCGCGGCAAACGAAGTTGAACGCAGAAGCATGTCGCGGGCGAACAAAATCATTCGGTGGTTTTGCGGGTATGTCTGCCTCTGTCATCTGCACACAGGGCATACGTCGGTTCGTGATGCGAAGTCGGCCCTAGTTTCTAGCACCGCGCAAATCGCTCAAGCTTGAGCTGCAACCGCCCTCGAAATTACCAAATGCTGTCGACCTTATCTCCAAATCGATTTCGCGCCGCGGGTTATTTACAGGCCCCCCCCCGACAGTGCTCGACTTTGAACGCCCGCGTTGGCGTCGCCATGTCGAAACGGCGCGACCTAGCAAATATGTCCGATGTGCCCTGGGTCCGTCCGTTCGTCTTCCGCTGGCGGTGGCCTGCCGCAAACCGATACTGCTTAACGAACTGCTTGCAGGCCGTCTGCCACTGCCGCAACGCCGACTCCTGTCAAGAGGCGCCAGCAGCCAAGGGACAAGAATCCAAGAGAGGTTTCGGAAGTGTTCGGAGACGCAGAAAGTTCAATCGGAGGTTGTGGAACCGCTTGTCGGGGACGTCCCACGTCTTATCGCTTGCCCCGTTCGGAAGGAGGAAAGCTCGAAGACGGGTCCAAGAGGCTCCCCAAGACGGTCCAAGAGGGCCCAGAGTCGCCGAAGGATCGGTCGAAGGTTCCCAGGGCGGCTCCAAGATGGCACAAGAGGCCTCCGAGACAAAGAAATTCATAGAGGCCTATAGCCCACAACCCAGGCACGGTGGTGGGAGGGGCCGAAAGCCATTAGATAGGTTACGGAGGTGTTCGGAGACGCAAGGAAATTCCATCGGAGGTTGTAGAAGGTGCTCAAAACTTCTCCGCGGTGTCCGCGGGCTTCGACGTTTTTGGCACGGGTGATGCGAGAAGAAGGTGGGGGAGGAAGATGGGAAGGAAAAGGATTTTTCCCAGGATTTCCTACAGGCCGACGACCTAGGGAGGGGAGGGGCAGGAGCGGGGGGGGGGGCAGGGCGGCGACGGCGGGCGCGGGCAACCTGCAATAGGCGACCCGCGGGCCGCAGACCCAGACATTCGTGTCCGAGTCGGGCAGCAGCCCGCGTCACAGCCACACCAGCAGATCATTGCTGCGACAGCCGCAGCTGGCGGCGTGAACGCAACAAACGAGGAGAAGGAGGGAGGAAGAGGATTGAGGAGGATAAAGAAGGAGAGATGAGCGACGAGGAAGAAGGGATGGGAGGAGGAGGTGGAGGAGCAGGAGGAGGAAGACGAGGACGGAGGGAGAGAAGGAGGGATGGCGGAAGGGAAGAGGAGGGGGGACGGAAGGGTAAGAACGTGGAGAAAGAGGAAAGTGTGCCAGATGGGACGACCAAAATGCGTGGAAAGGGGTGACGGGCGAGAAAAAGGGTGACGAAGAGAGGGATGCGGAGGGGGAGGACGAAGATGAGGAAGACGACGCAGAGAGAGAGAGAGAGATTGAGGTAAGGAGAAACGGGGATGAGAAAAACAAGGACAACGACTGTGATAACTGGTCGCGCGGCAATTCTGACCCTGGCCCATCTGCTAACCGTGACGCCCCCCACACATCGATTGCGCCAGAACAAATCTCACTCACCCTCTGAATGATCGGGCTGTGCTTCCAGGCTGCCGCGCCGTGGGCGCCCGTCCCCGCCTGTCGCCGTCTCGTGAAGCAGCTGGATGGCGGGGGTCTCGGCCAGAAGGCGCCCCTCTCCGCCGCGCCGCAGCCGCACATCGGCGACGGCGGCGCGATCCTCCGATCCCACTCGGAGCGGATCCCATTCTGGAAAACCCCATAAGAGCAGGAAAAAACAGGAGGGAAAGGGTACTGCTACCCGAATGTCGCCTGTTGCTCGAGCGAGCTACCGCCTTCACAATCGCACAGCAGGCTTTGGCCGCCCACGACCCACAGGTGGAATGTGGCGTGCCCCGCGGAACCGCCCCCTGCAGGTTCACAACCCTGCGTGCCAGTGATGAGCGGACGTTGGTGGCAAACTAAAGCGGTCGCCGCCCGGAGCGCGAGGGAAGCGGGGTGAGGCGAAGGGCGGGGGAAAAGCTCGAGCACCGCCGCGGCCCCACCACTCCCACCCAGCACGGGAAAGATGAAGGGGAACTGGAACACACAAATAAATCCACACAAATAAAAATATCCCCCATATTTTCCCATATTTTCTGGGTTTCTGTCTTCCCCCCCACTTCCCATATTTTCCCATATTTTCTGGGAATCGCCGATTAATTGTGTCTGTGTGTTTTCTCCCCTCCTGAAGAGAGGCGGAGCGCGACGGTCGGTCCTCCTGCAGCCTCGCGAGCGCCGCCGCGGGGGACAGCAGCCCGACGCGGCCGTAGCCCCAGCGGCTGTACTTGGCCTGGCCGGCGCGCGCGCGCGCCGCGCCAGCGGCGCCGCCGCGCAGGAGGAGGAGGAGGAGGAGGAGGAGGAGGAGGAGGAGGAGGAGGAGGAGGAGTGGAGGAGGGCGGAGGAGGAGGAGGGCGGGGAGGAGGAGGGGTGGGCCAGGTTCCCGGGCGGCGAATTTGCAGGCCCTGGCCGGGGGGCCTCCCGCTGATGCTGTTGCACCTCGTCCATGTCTTCCTCCTCCACCTCCTCCTCCTCCTCCTCCTCCTCCTCCTCCTCCTCCTCCTCCTCCTCCTACTCCTCGTCGTCTTCTTCTGATTCGTCTTCTTCGCCTTCTTATTTGTGTTACGATCTTCTGCATCCTACTATTCGTGATAGTACTGACATGACCATTCGCATTAACATTCGTAGTATCAGTCTTATCCCTCATAGTATCAGTATGCTTACTCTGTTTCGTATTATTGTTCGTAGTAGGTGTCACATTCTTCTTCGTAATACGATTATTGTTATGATTAGCATGTGTAGTTTTCTGCTTCTTAGTAATACCATTATTACTCATAGTATTACTCGTATGTGTAGTATTACTCTTAATATTATTATTAGGATTAGTCTTATCAGTAGTATCATGATTACTTATGAATTTAGTATGAGTATTATGTTTATTATTAGTGTTAGTAATAGTATTAGTATTATCGTTCGTCTTCATATTATTCGTCTTATTCGTATTAGTAATAATCATATTGGTATTCGCATTCGTGTTCTTACTCTTCCTCGTCCCCCCCTTGTTCCTCTTCCTCCTCCTCCTCCTCCTCTCAGTCCTCCTCCTCTTCCTCCTCCTCCTCCTCCTCCTCCTCCTCCTCCTCCTCCTCCTCCCCCTCCTCCTCTCATTATGTCTCGTATTGGTGTTCTTCGTATTATTCATAATATTCGTATTATAAATATTATTATCAGTAGTATTAGTCTTCCGAGTATTGCTAATAGTATGATAACTCGTATTAGTACTACGAGCAAATACTATGACTGTTATGGTCATTAAGACCAGTGGAAACATTATTATGTATTGTTAGTATTATCAATAGTACTGTGATGATTCGTATTTTTACGATTAACACGTTTAATCTTATAATTCTTAGTTTGATTCGTATTACTGTTATTAGTATCATCATTGTTCGCATTGCTATCATTATTATTCGTCGTTGTATTAGTAGTATTGTGTTCATGTCTCCTCTTATCGATATTAGCATCGTGTGTCTTACTATTGTTCCTCGTATACGTATTATTGTTCGTAGCATTTAGAAAAATACTATTATCAATCCTCCTCCTCCTCCTCGTCCTCCTCTTCCTCTTTCTCCTCCTCCTCCTCCTCCTTTTCCTCCTTTTCCTCCTCCTCCTCCTCCTCCTCTTCCTCCTCCTCCTCCTCCTCCTCCTCCTCCTCCTCCTCGTCCTCCTCTCTCTTTCCTCCTCCTCCTCCTCCTCCTCTCCTCCTCCTCCTCCTCCTCCTCCTCCTCCTCCTCCTCCTCCCTCCTCCTCCTCCTCCTCCTCCTCCTCCTCCTCCTCCTCCTCCTCCTCCTCCTCCTCCTTCCCCTAAATATCTACCTTCACCGCCTCCTCCTCCTCCTTCACCTCCCGCTGATCATGTGGTAGGAGCTGTTTCCCCGGAGGCGAATGAAACTTGGACCAAAGAGCAACGCCAAACAACTTTGCCTCACACGCTACTGTTTGACGGCTATGCTCCACGATCGTACGATTGATTCTGACGGTACCTCGCCCACCCAGTCGGAATGTTATAAGCTCTCCCCCATCGGCGGATGAACCAAAGTTAGAAACAGGCGGTATTAAAACAAGTGGACAACGCACTGAACACAGGCCCCCACCCGAGCGGGTCATTTCCGATGAAGTTGAAAAGAAAACGCGCCAAACGATCGAAAAATGTAGTCGGTTAAAGATTTTTGACAAGCGATATAATATTCGTATGCGTCGTACAGCACCAAAACGAACAACCTGTTCTTCAAAACCTATCATTGAGCGCAGGTTCGGAGCCACAAAGACGATCAACCGATGCTGGGCTCAAGTATCTGGAAAAGCGGCTTGCGGAAAGGACCGGGAGATTCACCCGGTTGAGCTAACACTCCGTGGCTGGCGCCAAGTCGCGACTTCCTTTAACAAGATGTTGGTTAGTACCTCGTCAATGCATCATCAGACGGTCCCTGCTCACGTACTTCGCCCAAGCATCTGCAAAAGTTTCGCGGGCTCCCACTTTGACCACCGTGGCAAACTTCAATGCGCATTACGGCGTCTAGTCCTTGCCTACTTGCAATGGCAACGGCTGCATTAGCACAGCTTCTTTGAATAAAACATGTCTCAATAACTCTCGAAGTACTTGAGGTATGCTTGCAGTCTTGGCGACCCCGCATCGCCTTCCACCTGTCAGCAATATTCCACCAGGCCCGCCGATAATGCCACCGCACTCTGTATTGAACCCCACGGATTGAGAACACGATCCCCTCATCACCGCGCACGTCCACTCGTCATATGGTGCGCCCCCTTTCCTGCAATGCCGGCAACTGCACTTACAGTTAACGCATCAAGGCGTTCTGGGTGCAAATACCGGCGCCCAAACCTGTCGCGATTCTAGGTAGCGGCCTAGCGCGGTGACACTTGTCCACGCCCATGGGGTTGAGGCTGGCATGGAACGCGCCAGTTCCTTAGCCGAAATTTGTATACCCGAGCGGCCCCGCGCTGATTTGACTGGCTTGCCCTGCGCACTAAAGCTCGGCAGTTCTTCACTTTTGAATGTGGTCACGGCTCATCGTCGTCTTCTCCGCAAGGCGACCATCACCCCTCGCTGCTGCAGGCCTGACACAGTTGACGCGCCCATCAGCAAGCCAGCGATCCACCTCTCACCATAGCCCTTACCAACTTCATTCCACAAGCCGACTCAGAAACTTGACACACGCCAAGCCATCCTGCCCTTCTCCGAGTCTGCCCCTCGCTTCAACGACAAGCACACGCACGATTCTTCTTTCGAACCAAACAACACCAACATACTTTTCCGCTGAGGAAAACATATACATGGACCGATAGCCAGATTCCCCTCGCCTCACGCTAAATCACATCGGGCGGCGCTTTCCCGTCGCCAATACCGACGCCACGCACGATGCCCACGCATTAGCCTACGAGTTGCCGGCGGCGTCCCTGGCGCGAAACAATGAGATTACAAGAATGTCACAGATGCCTGGCTCGCGACCTGTAGGGCAACCTGATGAGGACGTTCTGTCGGTTGTCGATGCGTAGAAGATTGCGCGCTTAACAGATATGAACTTAGGCTCGACCCCTCTCTCAACGCCCCCTTCGGGCATGCCCTAGACCCCTGGGCGGCCACCGGGGAATAACAGTTTTTGAGCTGCCAATGATCGGGGCAGCTGCCGACATGTTCTTTCATGCGACTTGCCTTCAAATTGCTGAGCCACCACGCGGGGTCGGCGCCCAGGATTAGCCTCGCCGCCCCCGTCGGCATCAGCGCACGCGCACCCGTAAGGGCCACGCTGGCACCTGCCCAGTACTCCTCCGAAATTACTCAACAATATGCGCCTCAAACTGATCCATCTCATCCCACCGAGCCTTCAACGCGAGCTCTGGATCGAGCTCAACGCCCGACGTCGCCCCAGGTCCGTGCTTCCCTCCTACACAACGAAACAGATGGCGCCCCTGGTGACAGGGCGCACCTCTGCAACGTTGTCGCACGCCTCGCGCGCCCCTGGAACCCGACCACCCCCTCCGCCAATGCGCCCCGCGCATCCACTGATCAAGCTAGACGTCTCGCGTAACTTGGCAGGTGAAGCTAGCGGAAGCGCTGCGAGCTCCTCCTCGGAAACCCCACGCCCGCCCCAGCCCCCGACGTCGCCGCGCCCCCCTGCCCACCACAATCTGGCCAAAGTCTGAGCCGCAAGTAACTCGGCGCAGGGGCGAGCTGCGAAGCGGCCCTGGCCATCCTGAGCCGTTCGGCGAGATGCGCCAGTCTCTTCTAGTCTCGGCCATTACAGGCACAAGTCCACCTCCATTCTGCCCACGCTTGACTTCGCTGACTTCCTGTCCCTCACCTGGCTCAATGCGAATAATTCCTGGGCCATGCGACCTGAAGGGGGCTTTCGCAGATGGCTGTTGACATGTCTGGCAGGACAAGTTCCATCGCTAGATGAAACTACGATGTTGATTCAACATGCTGGGTTTCTCCATCAGAACTTCCTCCCCTCGTGCAGTTTGACTCTGGTTGTGCCACGGAACCCCTCCATCGCGCTGCAACACTCTCTGAAGGGGTCGCGGTCCAACTGCGAGGCCCCCGCGGAATGTTCGAAGCCAAAGCACGACCTACATGCCCGGCACAACCTTAACGCTCACCATCCCGCAGCCGCGAATTTCCCACGCGCTTCCCGGCCCGAGCCCCGTCGAGCCGGAAGCGCGCAACCCGCTGAAAGCCGCGCTCACTAGGCACACTATCGAGAGTAGACCTTTCTCACCCTTGACCAACCTCCCAGTTTCCACGCGTCCTCCACCACGCTAGCAACTCGCACTGGCAAGTATGCCTCGGATGCGCGCGACTGCGCTTTGCGCCGGCTTTTGCCGCATTACCTCGCAGCTCCCCCGACGAGGCGACCTGCTCGATGACATCCACGCTTGCGCCGAACACCCGCTAAACTACATCGGAACCGACCCCGTCATATGAAACCCAACACGTACCTCATCGGCGGTCATATTGTCGCGTGCTTCATCTACGCGTTCATGTCCACGTTCCTCAACGCGTTCGCCATCGGGCTCCTTGCCACGCCCAGCCTCTCCGGCCTCAGGTTGAATCTCTGTGTCCTTGCCCTCTTCACGCCTAATTTCTCGGGCCCCCTGATCGCCTCGTGGATCCTCTGCCCGTCATTCTGCTGCCGCCGATCGCTGCGGATTTACACCGACCGGGCGCCGGTCGCCATCGCAACCAAAGATAGCACGGAACTCAGCCCACCCCATTCA